AGGCTCACTTACCAGCTGTGTCAGGAAGTTATCTTCCACACACTGCAGGAACCTTCTGGACTGTTTCCTTTCTGCTGTACTGTATTTCCAGCAGATGTCTGGGAAGTTGAAGTCCCCCACAAGAACAAGAGCTCGCAACTGAGAGACTCCTACCAACTGCTTGTAGAATGCTTTGTCAACATCCTCACCCTGGTCGGGTGGTCTGTAACAGACTCCCAACAGGATATCTTTTCTGTTGGCCTCCCCCCTCATCCTCACCCATAAGCATTCTGCCTCACCACAAGCATCAAGCTCTGTACAATCAAAACACTCCCTAACATACAGAGCCACCCCGCCGCCTCTCCTTCCTTGCTTGTCCCTTTTGAAGAGTTTGTAGCCATCCATTGCAGATCTCGATCATCTACTGCCCTGAAATTTGCAAGTTCAGAATCCTGCCATTGATATTTCCAGATTATAAAAGTTAAGAAAATACTCTTGACAAAAACAAGAATGCTTTTTGTAACAGCTGTTACTAGCAGCAGCCATACAGAAGTATTACAATGCTAAAATGGATTAGTGCATCAAACGAAATTACTTACCATTGATATTGATTTTGTACAACTTGCCTAGTAAAACAGGCTCTTTAACTAACCAAAGCACTGTAAGGTATGTTTTTCATCCCTCGCAGAGCACAGCTAATCACCTATTTTTAATGCAAAAGCTTCCAGCAATCTCTTCAGATAGGATGATGAAGTGAAATGCTTTATGGCAATGTAGACATTTTCAATGTTTGTATTCAAACAGGTAGGTTGCAGACCTAAGATAACTTTTGTCAAATTTTGTCAAAAAACTACCATCGATTCTAAAGAACTTAATCAGGAGTAACATCCCTGGACTGAAGGAAATCGGGCACAGCAGTACGAAAGATTAAAAGCTGCTATCAAGTACTAGTGAAATCTGAAATTTGGAAACGTGTATGTTTGGTTTTTTTAAACAAATCTAACAATAACTGAAATTTCAAGTTACAGAGCAAGCAACCCTTCAGAAACTTGGAAATGGCATAAGACTGAAGCAAGTTTCTCTTCTTGGGGTCGGGGGAAAAGGAATTTAAGATAGGTTAACTAGATAATTTAAACAAAATCCTGTAGAAGCAAAAGTATATATTCTCCTGTTACCCATCAAGTGGGTCAAAAAAAAAAAAAAAAAAATCATCAGGCACGTCAAGGGCAACCAGACATTTGATCACACAGAGGGAAAATATTCCGACACTCACCTTTTTAATAGCGACGATCTGGTTGGTGTTCTTATCCCTTGCTTTGTAGACAGTAGCGAACTACGGAGAAAGAGAGCCTCGCGTGACCGCGGGGGCCGGCAGCCAGAGGCCCGGCTCCTCAGGCCGCCGGCCGGCCC